CGAATAGTCCTTGGTTGGAGTATGAGTCTCTGGGAAGTTCCCTGTGTTCAAATTTTCTTGTTCTGTTGCTCTCCTTGTGGAGTTCCTGTCCTCTCCAGTCTTACTATTTCCCACTTCTTACATAATATTCTATTCAGCCTTTTTAATAAGACAGAAAGGGGAAATGTTGGGGCTGATCTGGAGCTACTATGTATGCAAATGTTACTTGCTTGCTTCCCAAGATCCTTACAAGCACGTTCTCAAATATCCAAAATGACGTGGTGTAAGCCTTGCCTTCCAGATTGTTTCTGATTGCCAAATAAAGTTGCCTACAGCCTGGACTGAGTAAGAGAGAGGTAGGTGAAGCCTAGGTTTGCAGGCTTTGGAGATCAGAGAGAGAGCAGGAGGAGGAAAGAGAGGAGGAGGAGCAAGGAGCAGGTTGCCATGGGTTAGTGTGAACTTACAGGTGGCCAGGAGATGCTCATTCTGAGGACTGGCATGATGGAGAGAAGCAGCCCAAATAGAAAACATGCGCAAGTGTTTATGGGGATTTGGGATGGAAACTAGACAATATAGCTCAGAGGTTTAATACCTGTGTAGCCTCAGTGCATTAGGGCTCATTAAAAATCTGACAAGTTTCTGTGTCTTTTATTTTATAATAGCAGATTAAAGAATAACTGCCACCTTAATAATTAAATACTAATTATTAATAATTATCAAATATTAATAACCATTCAACACACTTGCTTTTTGAAAGTTGCGATGTGAAGAATATTACAGTGCTATCTCTTTGTTTCATTGATATGAACTAAAGTACCAGCATTAGAGGCTAATTTTTGACCAGTTAGAATATTATAAGTCTTTTCTTTTTTATTTATTTATTTATTTTTATTAATTACACTTTATTCACTTTGTATCCCCCCCTTAGCCCCTCCCTTAAGTCTTTTCATGAAGAGATTTTTCTGGAATTTATGAAATACGGTGAGTTCAAAAAAATTATAAGAAATGACATAACAGCTCAATTTAAATTTATAGAAAATAAGACAAGAATAATAGATGTATTTTAGTTACCTTTCTATTGCTCTGATAGAACATCATGACCAAAAAAAAAATGTGAAGAAAATGGGTTTATTTTATCTTACAACTTAGGGGAAGTTAATCATTCAGGGAAGTCAGGGGAGGACCTGAAGGCAGGAAACTGGACGGAGAAACTGAAGTAGAGGCCCTGGAGGAGTGTTGTCTATTGGTTTGCTCCCTCGGGGCTTGCTCAGCCTGCTATGTTATAGAACCTAAGACCACCATCCCAGGGACGGCATTACCCACAGTGAATAGGCTCTTCCCAATCCATCATCAATGTAGAAAATGCAACAAAGACTTGCCAACAGGCCAGTCTGGTGGGGGAATTTTCCCAAATGATGTTCCTGCTTCGCAAATAACACTCTAGCTCGTGTCAAGTCGACATAAAACTAGCCAGCACAGCTGCGCAGGTGGACCTATACCCTATAGGAGAGGTAGCTGAGAAAACCAGGGATTGCAAACCATTCCTTCATGGTCTCTGCTTTAGTTTCCACCTCCAGGTTCCTTTTAATTTTCCCCCTATGAGGGACTGTGATGAGGGAGTGGAAGCCAAATACTTTCCTTCCCAAATAGCTTTTCTCAATGTTTTATCACAGCAAACTAAATCAAGGATGTATGTAAAAACCTTATTGAAACCTACTACATAATACCTAATTAGAAAACATAATTCCATTTAGCAAAATAAACATTTTGGGAAAAGCTACCATTTATTATTAATTCAAAAGTGATTTGTCCAGGGCTTAAACATAGAGAAACATAGTAGAAAGGATCTAGGAAGCACTTTAACAACCCAGAAGCAACAAGTTGTTTATTTGGTGTTGTCATTGGATGCTAGTTTGAAGCGATGGAAAAAAATGTCTACTTGCTCGAGACAGGAACCCAAGGGTAGAGCAAAGCATAGACACCACCAAATTATAGCTTGGTAAACCAATATGTTGGAGGATGTTTTGGTGTACTGTGCATTCAAATGCTGGTTTTAGTACCCAATCTGTCTACAGTCCAGATTTTGGCATTGTCATTATTATGAAGTGTCTCCTGTTTTTGTGTATTGTCAACCTTGTTTTCCATTACTTTTTGATTGGTCAAAAAAAAAATTTGCTGAGTGGCCAATACCTGGACTTGCAAGTTAAGGCAGGAATTGTGGAGCCCAATTTCTTGGACTCAGGGACAGAGAGAGGGTCTCAAGTGGGGACTGGGAGTCTCCATTGAAACAAAGATGAAGAAGGAGGTGCCAGAGCAAGACTAAGATGGCAGGTAACAGGCCACATGGCCAGGAAGTAGCCCAGACCAGAATTTGGGGTAGAATAGCTAATTATCTGCCCAGAAATAGGGCCTGAAGCTTTTAATAAATATACTGATCTCCATGTCATTATTAAGAGCAAGAGCAGGAATAAAAAAAAGCCTTGCACTTTATAAATAAATTTTATTTCAGTTACTTAACATGTGTATTAATGGGTAAGGAGTTACTTATGGTACAGAGATGACTCAAAGGCTCACAAAAGCTGAAAACCTAGAATAGTCTATACACCCTGCAAACAGCTCAATAGGTTAGAGGGCCTCCTGTCCAGGTAGCCCAGTTGGTCTGAGCCTGTTCTTAGCAACTTGGCTAGTCCCTGCTTCTTTCAAACAACTGGACTTGTCTGAAAGAGTCTTTCAGTAATCTGTTTACATATTTGTTGCTGATTATTAATATTTATTTTATTAATCTTTTAGTTAAACAGCAATGACTCCTAAACCACCTGTATACCCAAATCACCATACAAAGACTAGGATTTATTTAATTAATCTGGAGCACAATGCTGGACAATAATTACTCCATCCTAAACCTCCAAGCCTGCATAGCTTTCTCCCATTCAGATTTCCCAGTTATACTTGCTTTTTTATTATATCTTAGGTTCAATTCATCTCTCCTGATGTTTCCAGGTTCTATCCTCCCCAATCTCTCTTCTTTTCCCCTCTCACTCGCTTCTTTCTCCTCCCCTCCAGACCAGGATGTCCCACCCTGTTCTTTCCATTGCTCAGCACTGGCTGGTCATTTCATTGGCATTTCATTTCAGAAAACAAATGGAAGCATGCTTACACAAACTTAAGATGGGTCCGGATTGAATGTCTAGATTGAAATCAGTTAGTGGGGTAGAGAAATCAGCATGTGAATGAACAAGGGTAAATTATATGCATTCCACAAGAACATTATACCAACACATATATATATGAAGGGGTGGGAACTAGTGGGTAAGTCAGCTTCAGGGACTTCCTGAAGTTATCATGTTGTTTACATTGGAAGAATAAGCATCCCTACAGAATGGGATGTTTCACACTGCCCCCACAACACATACTGTTGTTTCACCTCCCTTCTTACATCCTGTTTTAAGGAGCTTCCCTTCAAGAAGGAAAGTTTTAATCTTGTAGGAATCTGCTACACAATGGCCATAAAAGTGAAAAGGAAGAAACATCTAAAGTTATTTCTTGGGATCACATTGGGTTTGAAACTCTGCAGTATATAGTTAGCATTTTTCTAGGAAGAAAATGGTCACCTTATTATAGGTCTGAGGTTGTTCAGAGATTCAAGATGACAAGAATAAATTTAGTAAAAAGAGGCATTAATAATACTGGCCAGGAAGAACCAAAGAATTCTCCAAGTTAGGCCGTGGCTATTGTTAGTCTAAGGATTTTAAAGGCAAAACCCACAAAGTTATAATTTTTGAGGAGCCAGGTTAACTCATACTGGGTACACACAAATCTTCTTGTAGTAGGCATCTAACAGGTGTCTCAGCCATGGCAGCAAGCAAGCATTTCCTACAAATAGCAGAACCTAGGAGTCAGCTGTTAATCTTGTCAGCTATTACCTTGTAAACTAGTGAGACAGTAAAATATTACAACAATCAGCAGTTTGAAGAATAGTCCAGGCAAGCGAGAGAAGGACCAACCCACTGCTTTGTCTCTCTCTTACTCTCCTCTCTTGCTCTCTCTACCTTGCTTCTTTCCTGAGAGCCCCTTACCATGTCTCTCTCTCCTTTTCCTCTCTCTCTCTCCACCTCCACCCAATAAATCTCTTTCATATAATCTAAAAAAAAAAAAAAAAAAAGAATAGTCCAAGGGCACTGGGAAGTTGTCCATCTTGGGCAAGTTAGCTACAGGGTACATACAAGATAGGAGCCACTTGCTCATGGTTTAGAAGTTTAAAACAATTTTGTTTTTACAACCTTGAAAAAAGAAGTCTTCTCCAAAAAGAAAAACTTGCCCCAGGGTTACTTTTTCTGTACCCAAGTTCAGTGTGCAATAAGGAAGGTGTGATAACTGGAAGGAGATAACATCTGTTCAAACAATGTGTACAAACTGGGTCACACCTAAAACCATGTCTGTTATTACAGTGTTTTTTTAATTTGCAGGTTAGCCCAAGCTAGCTGCTTTTCTTTAGCACTTGTAACCTGCTATCTTGCTCCTGCCTGCTCAGCAACGAAAACCATATAAAAGAATAAGGAGTGCTTTGGGTAGTGTGCATTCTCTCCTGAGGCAAGTGCTGCCTGGCCATAATAACGTTTTGAGCATCACCATCAGCAGGGGCTGGGGATTTTTCCTTTGCAGCAAAAGCACAAGGCTTTCCAGGACAAAAGAAATTATCCTCTAAACATGGTGTTCACCACCACAATGTCAGTTTTAGCACTAAGGGACACAAAGATTTGTTTTCAAAGGCAAGTAGATACATTAGCATGAGGTTTATGTCTAAAATATCATCATCATCACCCATGTCATTGAAAATAAGAAAATGTAAAAGAATAAAAACAAAGAATACAATCATGTGCCTGCTAGAAAAGAACTATGTACATTTTCACAATTCAGAAACTTTCCATTGAATATAGAAACAGTCCATGGAGATGATGTCAGCTTCACTCATCTGTGTTTCTCAAAATCCACTTCCCTAGTTCTCACCATGAAGTCAAAAGATGATTTGGAGTGACCTCATCCAGCAAATAATCTTCCTTTCGCTTATTGGACTTGGAATTTCAGGAAACTTCCTTATATTTGAGAGACATGTGCACACATTTATCATGGATTCTGAGAAAAAACCTATAGACCTTTTCTTCACTCATCTGGCCTTTACAAATGTAATCATTATTTGTACCTCAGGGGTCAGGTATGTAGCCACAGAACTTCATTTCAAAAATGTTCTAGGTGATGTCGGTTGTAAAACTGTGGTTTATCTTGGAAGGGTGGCCCGGGGCCATTCCATCTGCACCACCTGTCTCCTTAGCATGTTCCAAGCTGTCACCATCAGTCCCAGGACCTCCTTGTGGAGAAAGCTCAAACCACAAGCTGCATGGAAAGTTCTTCCCTTTCTCCTCCTCCTTTGGGTCTTTAATGCTCTCATAAGCTCCAACTTGCTTCATCACATCACAGCAGGCAGCAGCATGAATAGATCTAGAGTTGGGGTGATTGAAGGGTATTGCTACATGCTGCGGTCCAGGTTGACAGTTAAGTGGCTTTTCCTCTCCCTCATGGCTCTTCGTGATGTCATCTTTCAGGGTCTGATGGGCTGGAGCAGTGCTTACATGGCTCTCCACCTCTATAAACATCACAGGCGTGTCCTCTACCTTTACAGTTCCAGGTTTACAAATAGTGCCAGCCCAGAAATCCAAGCTACATGGAGTGTTCTCATTCTTATGACCTGCTTCCTCGTCTATTACTTGGGAGATTTCATCTTCTCCTTCTACATTGGCTCAGTCTTGACCTTTGACTCCATAATAGTAAATGGAAAAATGTTTCTAGGACTTGGCTATGCTGCTCTCAGCCCCTTTGTCCTGCTAATAAAGGATTTCCACCTGGTGTGCTGCTGGCACAGTCAATGAGGGGTCTAGGAAACAGCTTTCTGTAATACTCCCTCCAGTAACTAAAAGTTATAATTTACTAAGACTTTACACAGTGGTTTGTGAACACAGCTCTTTATTGTAGGCATGTTATTGTGTCCTATGTAAAGATTCAAATGCTGATTCTGTGCTTTCCATATCTGGTTGCAATCCTTGTTCTGAAAAATCTCCTGTCTGAACTTTGCGCCACAATTGTTCTCTGATATGTCAATAAAGAGGCTTGACAGCCAATGACTGAACAGGGAAGAGAATAGGGCTGGACTTCCTGCCAGCTAAGGGAGGAGAAGAAAGAGAGGAAGTGGGGATTCAGCCATGAGAAGAGAGATCCAGGAGAGAGTTGCTGGAGCAGAGAAAGCCTTAAAAGCAAGTATCTCAGGATTTCAGCTGGAAGGAAGCCAGATCAGCTTAGAGGGTTAAAACAGATTAATGCTACTCAGTTCTTGTGCCATAAAGCTTGTCAAATAAATATAATAGTCCAGTCTCGATTATTTGGGTGCTTACAGGGTTAAGAGAGAAACTGCAACACAATTTTAAAACAACCACTAACACCTCATGTATTGCTCCACCCCCAACATCCTGCAGAGGCGCTCACTTATTTCTTCTAAACAATTCAGTGTTGACTTCCAAAAATTAAATATCCCCTTACATAACCACAACAGAGCTGAAAGGGTCAGGAAATTAAGTGTTGATCTCCATACTGTTATTCACTAGGCAGAACATACTCTGACCTCAGCAGTTGTCCCAGTGGTGGTCTTATGGAGAACAGCTCCAATGCTGATATCTCTCTGAGCTTCTGGACATGTCCTGAGTTTCTGACAGGACAAGAGGCTCCAGGCTCACCTTGCTCCTCACCTTGCTCACTTCGTCTACAGCAGCCCTGGAATAAATCCAAAGAATCTTGGTTCAGAGCACCAGAGAATGGCACTTGGAACTGTGATCTGCCACCAGATTTGGCCATAACAAACCATTCTGGACTGTCAAGCTGTAATCTCCTGCTTCACAACAACCCTGTGGCATGCTTTGGGTTCTTTGCCATTTCCCATAAGACCTAAAATAGCAGAAATCCATTAAAAAAAAAAAAAACTCAGTATCAAGTAAGGGCACATCATTTTGTAAAGCACAGTTCATCTTAAATTCACATGATAATTTGGCTCTGTGTAACTTCACTGTCTCCAGCAATAAATCAGTCAATAACCTTCACATATCTACTGACAGTTGTTGTAGGACAGGATTAGTCTTTTACATGAGTTCCATTGGGCTTGGGGTCCAATGGAACTGTTTAATGGAAAAAGGAAACAATCTCTTTTAGAGACCTTGAACCATCAAGGTGCCTACAGCAAGGGGAACTCTCTCTCTCCTAACTGTGTGACTGAGACTTGCACAGAAAATGGGATATCCAGAGATGGACGGTTTTGTCATCCCTTGTGCATAGAAGAGGTCAAGGGAAAGAGCGAGACATTGCTTTTTCTGTGCCTACACCACGGGTCCCCTTCTGATTCACAGCTTTGGAATTTAGTGAAGGTGAAGAGAGGACTGGAGACAGGCACCTGGATGCACAGAACCTGGCTGCTGTGCACACCCTAACTGCACATCCTTCTGTTAACTAATTAAACTCAAGACTGTGGCTCCAAGGACCATTTCTACAGTTTGTTACCTAAGTCATTAAATTCTAATTAAGACTGAAACAGCTTCCAGAACAAACTTATGTAGTAATTGTGGAGGGAGAAAGTGTTGTACCCCAGGGAATGATATTCCTCACAGGGCTTTCTTCTCCTCTACCTTGCCCCCTGACATACACACTGAAAACTGTAAAAAGTAAGGCCCAGTGACAGATAATTGAAAACAAGAATTCTCCAAACCCAGAAGGTTCAAATACAACCCTGAAGACTCACCTGGCCAGGGACTAACCCAGAGCTTCTCTTCACTGCAGCTGCTGCCCTGAGCACACCTGACCACTCTTCCATGTTCCTCCGTGGGGCTGTGAAATTTCCCTCAGAAGCACCTTTGCTGGTGTTTGCTTGTGAGGCTTAGGGCTTGCTGAGCCTGATCTCCAAAGGTATGTTCCACAGGCTGGAGAGATGGCTAAGCACCAGGCTTCCATGCTCAGGAGCCAGTGCCTTTGGGGAGCTCAGGAGGGTCTTTGCATGTGTTCCCTCCTTCCTTTTGGGGGAGAATAAGAACGATGAAAGAACTTTTCTGGTTTCTAGGGGGAAACAAACCCCAAACCTCTCTTCTCTAAGCCTCTGCTTTCACCCATACCATGACTGACACCATCATTACTTTTCACAAAATCTTCACTGCATATTTGTCTCTTACATGTGGGCAAACTTTGTCTTTACCCATTATGTTTTTAATTCCTCAAATCCCCCCTCATTTGTCTATCTGTCTTCTGTCTCTCTCATTCTCTTTCTCCATCTCTCCCTCTCCCTCCACCCTCTCTTTGTCCCTTCTACATATATTTAGGTTTTTCTGCACTCATTCTCAGCTGATTCCTAATCATATATTAAAAAAAAAATACATCTCAGTCAACTTCATAATTATAGACTAGATTAATAGAGAAAACTGTTCACAATTAGTATTAAAAATTATTGTTAGTTTTTGGCCAGGTTGTACATTAATATAATCCATTGAAAATCAGATTGTTTTATGATGCATCCAGTACTGCTGTCATGCTTTAGTTGAGAAAACTATCTCTGAAACGGGCACAGTTGCCAGCCTTAGTTGTTACACAGCTCAGTGTAAACCATACCCTTTTAAGGAGTTTCCAATAATGATTCAAAAGCTATTTAGGATTATGGTTTCCTCTGCTATTGTTCAAATTGTCCAGTCAAAACCTAATAGAAGCATTGTAATAGGTGTTTCAAGATTACCCCAATTCTGATTTGAGGGAAAAATCTAGGCCCAAATCAGGAAAACATAAAAGTATTTTTTAATGACATGAGGGCATTGGGGAATATTCTGAACATTCATTCTTTTAAAACAGATTCTCAATCTCAGATTAAATTTTTAGCCAACTCTTATTTAAATAGATTAGTTACAGTTGTTTTTACTGATATGCCTGGTGCTTTATTGCACCATGGGCTGTGAATTTCAGATGCATGCTTTGTTCAGTGCATAGGCACCGATTGTTATCCCTCAGTTTGCAGTCAAGGAAACTGAGGCTGAAAGGCAGTACCTGATGTTCCTACTCAAAGGGCCTCATCATTCCAGACCTGGTTACACACCAATGTTCAGACATAATTCTCTGCAAGTGATCTCGAAGATTAAAAGAAGTAAAGCCAGGCATAGTGGCACACACCTGTAACCCACATACTTCTTCTCCAGGAGTAAAAGCTGGAGGACCAGGGCTTGAAAGCACTCTCAATTGCAAAGAGTGTTTGAGGTCAGCCTCCCTTACAGGAGACCCTGGCCCAAAACAAACCAAAAAGAAACAAACAAGAAAGGGCAAAGGTAAAGTTAGCACACCCCTGATGACTGATAGGAAGGGGGAAGGGAGGGGGTGTAAAGCTTTCCAAGCTCGTTCAGCCTGGGCCAGCCCTGCTGTCCTGGGTCTGGGGAGTTGTGTGCACAAGCTAATCTTCACTGTCAACCTGAATGGGTTCAGAGTCATGGAGGAGACAGATCTCTGGGTGTTTCAGTAGGTTTTAACTGAGGTGGAAGGACCTGCCCTGGATAGCAGGATCCTATGGCCTGGGCCCAGGATCCTAGGAAAAGGGGGCTGAGCATCAGCATTGTCTCTGCTTCCTGTCTGCTGAGGAATGTGACCAACTGTCCCACTCTCCTGCTCCGGTGCTCCCTGCCCAGCTGGACTAGCTTCAAGCTGTGAGCCAGAACAAGCCCTTTCTCCCTCCAACTGCTTCGTCAGAGGCTTAGTGCAACAATGAGAAGTAATTATATATGGACTGCAGTGTGACATATGTCCTACAGGTGAGAACTGAGAATGGAGAGGGTGGCTGTGAAAGTGTAAAATCCTTTCCAGGCCTAAAAGTGTGAAAACCGATTACCAAAAGAACTCTGAAAGGTGAAGGCTAGCCTAGGGCTCTGGCTGTAAGTAGAGGGAAGGCAGCACAGAAAAGCATTGTCCTTCAGTACAGCACATAACAGCCTTCATGATGACAGGACACTCTGTGAAGAGCTTGAAGAGAGGAGCCTAGAGCCTTCTAAGAAAGTTAAAATAGTAATGACAATGGTACCTCTAGATGTCCAAACCCAAGTAGCAGTAATTACTCTAATTTGATCAGTAAGTAATGTACATGTGTTGAGATATCACAATGCACTCCACAAATGTATTATCATGGCATGTTAATTAAAATTTTGGAAGAATTATTACTACTGAACGAAAAGATAAAGAAAATCAACTCAGCCTGATGTAAATCAAAGCAGCCCTATTGTATTACCAGGCTGAGAGAACAGACATGGATAGCCTAGGTGCCATGACAATGAGGGAATATTGTTATGTGGCAGCTGCAGTACCATAACAACTGGGATGAGGGTGAACATCTCACTTAGCCTTGGAGCCCCCAGTGAACTAAGTAAGCCTTACTAGGGGTTCCTAGTTTCATAAACTGCATTCACCCCATACCATCACACATCAGAAAGTCTTCTCTTCTCTACTTGATCAGCAGCAGCTTAACCAGATCTAGTCCAGGTTCTCTCAGAAGCTCTGAGGTCACTTGTGGGAAGGCAGCCCTCTCCTGAGCCCTTCTAGGCAGTACCCCAAGGTTGCTCTAGAACACAGTCTGACTGCATCCAGTCAATATACTGCTTTTCCAGAACACGGGCTCACTCCTGGAGTCTTTGATTCAGCATTATCAGCTGTACTAACAGGAAAGCATTTTGTGGGTAGGTTTGGTGTTAAGTGTAAGATAACCCTCAGGAACTTTGTAAGCAGTGAAATTAACAGAACAGTTTGACTTTTAAAAGGACACCTCTGAAGATGTATGAATCAAAGATATAGTGATTAAAGACATAAAACAAGTCTT